GGGGGGGGGGGGGAGAAACCGAACCGTAGGTGGGTTGCCTACATATCCTTCTATGGGAAGTCAGGTTGAACGTAGTTCTGTTACAACAAAAACCTAATTCTATTTGTTTTCAAACATAGTATCTCTTTATTGCATCTGAGTTGATGTGCTTCGTGTTGATTCTTCCATCCATTTCTGTCAAGATTAGAGTTCCACCCAAAAGTGCTCGTTGAACCACGTAAGGACTTTTTTAGTTTTATGCAAACTTTACTTTGGCTTCCTCGTGCTGGGGAAGATTTTCTTGAACACCAACTACCCTAGTACGAACTGGCGATGCTTCACTCTCTTGTTAAATGCACTGGTAATCTTATTCTTATATAGATGACCATGGCATGCTACATCCATTAATTTCTCGTTGATGAGCATGCGTTACTTCGGTGTTACCCATATCCATTCTGCGTCGTCCAATTATGCATCTTGAATGACTCTTAAATATTGTATTTCGACCTTTGGGGGTATCACAACTTTAGTACCGTATACCAACATATATGGCGTTGCCCCAGTAGATGTTCTCATGGTGGTCCGGTAACCCAGTAAAGTGAAAGACAATTTTTTGTGCCATTGTATGTGATTGTCTAGTATCTTTCATAGAATCCTCTTAATGTTCTTGTTGGTTGCCTTTACTGTCCCATTCATTTGTGATCTATAGGTTGTGGAGTTGTGGTGGACGATTTTGAACATTTCGCAGATTTCTCTCATGAGGTCACTTTGGAGGTTAGCGACGTTATTAGTGATGATAGATTCCGGTATATCAAATCTTTAGACAATGTTGTTCCGAACAAAATCTACCACTACCTTCTTTGTGACAGGCTTGTAAGTAGAAGCCTCGACCCATTTGGTGAAATATTCGATAGCTACCAAGATGAAGCGATGTTCATTTGACGTGGCAGGCTCTATAGGTCCGATCACGTACCTTCCCCAAGTGGCGAACGACTAGGGTGAACCCATTATGTTTAACTCATTTGGCGAAACCCGGATGAAATTCTGGTGAATCTGGCGCTGATGACGTGTGTGTATACAGCGGATACTATCGCTCTCCTTAGTCATCCAAAAATATTCAACTCTCAAGATTTTCTTGGCTAATGTGAATCCATCCATGTGGGGTCTGCACATTCCTGCATGTGTTTCTTCCAATATCTTGGTTGCCTTGACAACGTCTACACATCTCAACAAACCTAAATCTGGGGTCCTCATGTACAGGATCTCCCCGGTGAGGAAAAAGTTGTTTGCCAGCCTTCTGAGGGCTCACTTTTGACCATTTGTAGCATTCTCCGGGTATTCTCTTGTTGCAAGGAATTTCCTGATGTTTTGTTACCATGGTTTACCATCTGGTTCTCCATCTACATGAAAGCAATAGGCACGTTGTTCCCTAATCTCCACCTTGATTGGGTCGATGTAGTTCTTATCTAGATGGTGGATCATAGATGATAGGGTTGCAAGGGCATCGGTGAACTCGTTCTGAATCCTAGGGACGTGCTTGAATTCAATCTTCGTGAACTTTTTGCATAGCTCTTTCACGCAGCGTAGGTAAGGAAGTATATTAACATTCTTGATGGACCATTCCTCTTGGACTTGATGTATCAATAGATCTGAATCCCCTATGACCAAAAGTTCTTTGACATTCATGTCGATTGCCATTCTGATCCCAAGGATGCATGCTTCATATTCGGCCATATTATTGGTACAAGGGAATCTTATCTTTTCTAATGCTAACTCCTTTGAAGTTTTCTACTCCATCGAAAAACATTCTCCAACCAGGGTACGATTCTGTAATATCTTCTCGAGCAAATAATACTTATTTATCAGGAAAATATGTAGTAAGTGACTCGTAATACCCATCCACTGAATTCTCTATGAGGTGGTCTGCTAAAGCTTGCCCCTTGATAGCCTTCTGAGTTATGTACACATGTGAAATTCGATGAGGAGAATTTGCCATTTAGCTAGCTTTCCAATAGGCATCAACTTCTGTAAGATGTACTTGAGTGGGTCGAGCTGATATATCAGATGTAATGTATGCTAGCATGTAATGCCTTACTTTCTTGGCAATCCAAGTCAGAACACATCAAGCGCATTCTATCAAAGTATATTTGGCCTTACATGGCGTGAACTTCGTACTTAATTAGTAGATCGCCTGCCCCTTTCTCCTAGTTTCATCATATTGTCCAACACACAACCGAAGGCGTTATCCAAGACTGACAAATATAGTAACAATAGCTTCCCGCATTCAGGGAAAACCAACACTGACGGATTTGACAAAAATACTTTAATTCTATCGAAGGCTTTCTAACACTCTTCTGTCCACTTTGTGGCAACATCCATTTTCAGCAACTTGAAAATGGGTTCACAGATCTGGGCTATGAAGCGACTAATGTAATTAAAGCTACCCAGGAAACTAATAATATCTTTCTTAGTCTTTGGTGGTGGAAATTCCTTAATGGCCTTGATTTTTTATGGGACCAGTTCTATCCCCTTCCTGCTTACAATGAAGCCCAACAACGTTTCAACGGGGACTCCAAACGCATACTTTGCCATGTTCAATTTCAAACTGTACCTTCTCAGGTGTTCAAAAATTTTCCTCAAAAATCATCCATTTTCTTTGAACTCTTTCGAGACTTTGTGATGATGTCATCCACATACACTTCAATCTCTTTATAAATCATGTCATGAAAAAGGGTCGTCATAGACCTCATATAGGTGGCGTCAGCATTCTTTTGACCGAACGACATGACTCTATAGCAGTGAACTCCCAAGGTACGGTAAAGGTTGTCTTCTCTACATTTTCCTCGTGCATCAATATTTGGTGATACCCAGTGGAACAATCCACAAACGACTATAGTTCATGCTTAGCGCAGTTGTCAATAAGGATATGGATATTTAGTAGATGAGGGAAATCATCCTTTGGACTAACATTGTTGAGGTTTCGGTAATCCACGCATATTCTGATCTTTCCGTGTTTCTTGGGTACTGGGATGATATTTTCCATCCAACTTGGATAGTTGGTGACCCTTACCACATTCGCCTCTATTTGCTTGGTCACTTTCTCCTTTATCCTCATGTTAGAATCGAGTTTGAATTTCCTGAGTTTCTACTTGACTGGAGGTCTGGTAGGATCGGTGGGCAGTCGATGCAAGACGATATCAATGCTTAATCTCGACATATCATCATATGACCATGCGAACACATCAATATACTGCCGGAGGAGCTCATCTAGTTTTTTTTTCAGCTCGGCTTCTAGATGAATACTAATTCTAGTTTCTTTTATTTCTTCTTCACTTCCAAGAATGACAACTTCTGTTTCTTTGAGGTTGGGATTTTTTTGACTCTCCAGCTGTTTGATCTCCTAGGGAGATTTTCTGGCTTCATACTTTTGTCATACTCCTCGTCTTGGTCACACTCGACAGTTGTTTTACATGTCACAATTGCGGAACGCGAGTTTTTGGCATTTTGATTACTAAAAAAAGCTAATTATAAATGAAGCTGTAAATAAAGTTGCAATATTTTAGGAAAATGATTCTTTTTATTTCATCAAAAGAGGAATATCTTAAGCATTCAAAAGAGGTAAATGACAAAAAGGTACAGGCACGGTGCAGACCTCAATTGACCGTGCGCTTTTCAAAAGAAAACTTTTGCAGTTCCATAATACCAAGACTCTTGGCGAACCAAAGACGGACTGGCGGTCCATTTCCAAAGCTCTTCCCCTGGTTCGGCATCCCTGATAGTCGGTGACTTGATGTTAGTCCCTTCACGACATTCTTCAATCATATTCACAAACAACTTTCCCATCCATCGATGATATCATCTTTTGGTACTAAACATTGACCCGGACATGAAACATGCTCTAGCACACAAACCTTTTTCTCGGAGCTGACAATATGAGCTTTCCCTTACAGAGGCTGATATCCTACGCTGACCCTTCCTTTCTGCCTGTTAGGTTAAATTGGCTCTATGATTCTGTCCGACCTGGCTCCCAACCCTATTCATGGCCTGTATCCATATTTCATCATCTCCCTCATAGAAATATTGGATCTTTACGGCGACTGAATTCCCAAGTTTTATTCTATCTCCTCCATTTTAGTAGTCTGCATGATTTCCACTACATGGAAATCAATGCCATCTAGTCCTTTAATGAATGGAACCACATGCTCCAAATAAGCGGAGTGACCCCATTCGCCGTAGACCACGATCTCCTGACATCCCCGCTCAAATTTCATACATTAGTGTAAAGTGGATGGGACGGACCCTTCCATATGTATCCAAGGCCTTCCTAGAAGCAAGTTGTAGGAAGAAGAGATGTCCATTACTTGAAGCAGTATGGGAAATTTGATCGGCCCGATCTGCAAGGCCAAATAAATTTCTCCAATAACATCCTTTTGTGAACTGTCAAAGGCCCTCACCCTCAGATGGATTTCCTTGACTTCCCTCAAATGAATTCCTAACTCATGTAGGGTGGAGAGAGGACAAATATTGACTATAGACCCTCCATCGACCAACACTCGGGACACCACTTTGTCCCCATATTTGATAGTTATATGGAGAAGTTTGGTGTGACTTGTGCCTTTGACAGGAAGTTCGTCTCTTCTGAAAGTGGTCATATTTTCTTTGACCATTGTTCCAATTATCGCGGCTAGCACCTCACTATGGTGTTACTTGGCAAGATTACCCCACTTAGTACTTTCAATAAGGCATCATTATGACCGTTAGAACTCATTAACATGTCCATAATTGATATCGATGTTGGAGTTTTCTTCAGCTGCTCCCCCACATAATACTCTTTGGTCGACATTCTCTTCCAGAACTCTGCGGTCTCAGTTTGTTATGTTACTCCTTTGAGTTTGCTCTCTTCCAAAGCTCCCTCGATTGACATCTTCAAGAGCGCAGAATCTTCCGGACCTAGTCGTACCATGAGTTGCGATAGAGTCTATCATTTTTGCCTTTCAGTTTTGCTGTTACGTCCATGGGATGGTTTTGTATTCCCAACATTATTCGTCTCATGTAGAAACAGGAGGTTGTCATTGATAAGTCTGAGCAGTCACTATAGGTTTCACTTGTAATGTAATCATTTGAGCCCTTTGAGGAGGGATTCTAGAGGCTTCTACATTTCCTATAGTGATAATTGTCTCATTTAGGTTATACTCTTCGTCCAATAGGAGCATGTTAACTCCTTGGTTTTGGTGATTTGGCAGTAGATTGTGATTCACATTGGCTAGCCTCGAAGTGGTCTGAAGAGCTCCGCTCTTGATTAGTGTTTCAATCTCATTTTCAGCTTAAAGCAATCTTCAGTATCATGTCGAGGAACCCGTCCATCAACTGGATATATCAATCCTGCTCTTCTCAATCTCTAGAATAATTGGGCCAGAGGCTTAGCAATCGGGGTATAATTTTTTGGACCCCTCTCTTCAAAGTTGGGACGAGGGCGTGGTGCATAAGCGGATCGATTTTGGTGAGTAGTAGTTTGGACAAAAGCATATGGTCGTTGTGGGTTTGGGTTGTTGTTGGCTTGAGAAGGGTGGTATTATGGCCGAGAATGATAATATGTCTAGGTGTTATAAACTAGAGCGTAAGTGGGTGGTGGTGAATGATTGTTTGTGTAATAGGAAGTGTTTCCGTGATATGGATTGGGATAATAGTAAGGGACGACTGTTGAGACCTCCTCTTTCTTTTTCTTTCCACTACCGATTGACCCTAATTGGATGGCCTTTCTGGCTACTTGTAGTGCTGACATGGATTGTACTTTACCAGATTTTATGCCATCTTTGAAGATATCTCTCATCGTGACCAGCTCGGGAATTTCTGTCCCATCATTCCCATTATCTTTTCAAAGTATATCCCTTTATGGGGTCTAATGAAATACTTGGCTAATTTGCTATCGTCTAATGGAGATTGCGCTCTGGAGGCCTCTAACCTCTACCGACGTACATATTATTTGAATGGCTCGGATAGTTTTTTGGAAAGTTTACCAGCATGAACCAATAAGGAGTGATCTCTGTGTTGAATCGAAAGCGATTCATGAATTCCTCTGCCATATCTCGCCATGTTCTCCAATTTCGCGGATCCTATTGAGTATACCAGGTGAGTGCTTCTCCCATCAGGCTCCTTATAAATAACTTTATCCATAGCTTCTCATTCCTCCCCACTCCAACTAGCATGTGACAATATGCCCTCAAATGTGCGTGGGGATCACCCATCCCATCGAAGATATCAAGCTTTGGATGTTTATACCCTGTTGGCATATCCACATCCGGATGAATACATAAATCCTCGTAGTCAAAACTTTCACTTCCTCGAGAAACTTAGAGGTTATTCATTTGCTTTCTCAAGATTTGCAGCTGCTCGAATACTTACTCTTATTCCTTACATCTGGCCTCCCTTTCCATCTCGGCGTATTGGTCAATCTCATAAGGCACCCTGACCGTGACAGTTGCTATGAAGGTAGGTTTTAGAAATGGCATATATATGAAGAACATATCGCTCATGGGCGGCGGTATGTGCCACAAGTATGTGTTGGTTAGTGGAAAAAGTGACTCCGTCACGAGGTGGGGTGTAAGTTGCATTGGTGGTGATAGGCGAGTTTTGTGGTGTTTGAACGTACTACGGTATGTAAGGAGTATGGACAGGGGGATTCGGTGGTTTGTGGGGGT